GAGAACGGCAGAGAAACTTCACCAAAATAACGCTTGGAGCGTGCGACTTCATTCACACTGTTGATACTAGAGTTGTGAAGGGACTCCCCGAGACGAAGAAAGCTGCCCAATGCCTCACGTCGTAAAGCTTTTGGCAGCCATCGTCAGCCTCGATCATCTCCACAGCAGCCTTTTGGAGAGCACTCCCAATGTCCATCCCTTCTTCCACCAGATTACCATACATCTTCTCCATGAGCACCTGAGTGGACTCGTCCTTCACGTTCCAAAGTGATATCACCACGGACGGAACTCCGGAGATGTGGAACGATCTCGGCAGCGCCAGGATTCCCTCGGCAAACACTCTTCCGATTCCTGAGTTGCAGGCGCTGAGAACCGCGGCTGATGCTCGAAACGGACCCTGTCCTGCAAGCTCTACGACTTCATCCCCTGTGAGCCTGTCCGAAACCGACGCTGTTGTGAGAGCTCTCACGAGGCACTCCTCAAACTCGGAAGATCGAGCTGACTTTGCAAGGTCGTCTCGATGCTCTTCCGGCACTGCCAAAACCAGAGCTCCATCTGGAAAGTCCGCGGTAACTGTACCGTGGCTTGCGATGTGAATCCAATCACTTTCAGGAAGCTGCTGCAGCACAAGATCTTTCGTTGCATCAGCTTCGCACAGCAAGTTGACGACGCTCCCTGTGTTGGCTCTCTTCAGAAACGACTCCACCATCTCTGCTTCTTTCGTTGCATAATACAGATCTTTGCTGGGATTGCCAACCACCAGAGATGACGAAGTTTGTGATTTCTGCTTCTGCTGCCGTAGGGCCCGTCTTCTCTTGTCACAATGGTTCAAGAGCCTCAACGAGGAAACTGTGGCTACAGCATATCTCTGGATCAAGTAGTTGTCGTCTTCATCGATCATGGCGCCGAAAGGAACAAGGGAAACATCCTGCATTGATCATATGAATTTGAGATCCATACAAGTGAAAAGAAGAAAGTTTACCTCGGTTGGAACAAATATGAGCCTCTTGGGCTGAATGCTTTCCAGTCGAGACTCGAGAGGCTTGACGATAATGTCGTAGTAGTCCCTGAGAGCGCTGTCTGCGTCGTTGTCCTTCATGAGCTCCAGCAAATCTGATGGCGAGCAGACTTGGAAACCATACCGTTTTCTGAAATCGACGAGCTCTCCATCATGCAACAGATACGTAGCCACCGAGCTAAACGCTGCTGTTGAAAGGTGTGATATGACTACAATGGCTGTGTCCTTTCCCATGAGTTTGGAGATTTCTTCAACTTCTAACCAGGCTCTGTCGTCGTCCATGTCAAACTCTGTCGAGTTTTCGCGATCTCCTTCCCGGGTGACCAGAAACAACATGTCTCTTGCATGGCTCCTCTCAGACCAAATCATTGCTCGCTTGAATTCGTTTGCTTCGAAAAGGACCATCTGCACTCCTTTGAAGTAGACTTTGATCGATTCTATATTAGTGATCCTTCCCGTGCTGACATACCCGAAGTTTTCATCCACTCGCAGCCAATGCCTACGAATGCAACATTTAGAAAGAGAGGAAAGACACAAAATATGAACAATACCAACCTGAGTGCTTGCTCCAACTTTTGGACAGCATCTCTGGTGAAGCCCATCTTCCACAGCAGAAAACCATGGGAGCAAAGAACCGGAGGAACAGCAGTACCTCGCAGAAACGTGGCCTCTGCAAGCTGAGTTGCTTGTGTCATGAATTCGTTTACGAGTGAAATAGGCGACGCGATTTGATCGTCCTCTTGAGACAATCTCTCGTAGTATGCATGTGCCAGGTGAGCCATCTTCATCCAAACTCTAGCTTCAAAAACCTCCAGTCTACCATGTAGTTCGACCTCCCTATGATCACGTTTCAGAGCTTGGAGCAAGTGCGCGATCCGTGATTCCTGTTGTTCGAGATCTCCTTCCTCTTCAAGCTTATCCAGCTCTTTTAACGACTCTAGAATCTCGTCGAACTCCAACTGTGCCTCATCGTAGAGCTCAATTCCCAAATGAGGAATTCCTGTAGGAAAGAATGGTAAGAAAGCAGAAGAAGAAAAGAAAAAAAAACACGCATACCTTTCGACGAGTTTTTCACAAAATTTTCGATCGCGGTGGTAGCGCTGCTGAAGCTGCGTTGCAAACATGCCCTGCCAAAGTAAGACACTGTGCGTTTGTTCTCGCCGCACATATACGTGACCAGTGCCGCCGGGTATAGAGTTTGTAGAGGTTCCAAAAGGTGGACAGCTCGTTGGAAATGTAGGAAGCTGCCGGAATGATCTCCCCAAGCAACCTTGAGATGCCCTTCCATGAGCGCCACAACACCTTGACCAAAGACCACGCTGGAGAAATGGCTGCTGTTGATCATCTTCTCAAGCTCCTGGCAAAGCTCACTTGCATTTTGGAACATCTGGCGCTCTATGAGAAGAACGAACAGCTCGAGCATGACGTCGATTATGAGCTCTTCGTTGCCGGTTTGGAGAGCGCAGTGTTTTGCGCTCTCCAGGTACTCCTGCCTTGATTTCTTGTCACTGCATGCATGGCCTAGCGTATACGCAGCAAAGTAACGCAGCATTCCTGTCTTTGCCTGTTCCAGGGACTTCTCCAGAAGTTCATACTGTGTTCTGGAAAATCTGCCATCGATTGTTCCCTTTCTTCCAACGTAGTAATATGCCCAAGCCTTGTTGTCTTCGTTCTCGTATTTCTCGAAACATGCTATCAGTCGAGAAACCATAGCTTGAGTGTCTGCTGTGATCTCGCGGTTGATATAGTTGTCCAGAAACACTCCGGCCCAGTAAATGCTGTCTAAGTCATCCATCTTCAACGCGATTTCATGGCCAAGTACGAGAGAGTCGAGACCAGTGTCATATCCTTCTTCGATATGGGCCCTTGCATCTTTGGCGTCGTTCCAGTTTTCTTGGAGCTTTAGTATCTCCAGTCTCGCTTCTCTGTAGAAATCATATGCAGCGAAGCATACATTCAATGGTGTAGGGAGTGCCTCTGGATCTGGCCGAGATGGCAGCATCAACATGGAGAACTTGGTAAAGTTGTCATAGCGAATAAACTCGAGGAGGAACAAGGTAGAGCAGCAGGACGACTCCAACTTTTCCGCAAGCTTATCGTTGAGATTCACCATGAAGTTTGCCAGTGTTCTTCTAGCCTCAGCATACACGGAGACCACCTCTTTCCCAGCTTGGCCTTCCTTCTGCTTGATCTTCGCTTTTACCATGGTAACCAGAGCTGACGAGATTACCGATCCAGTGAACACCTGATCTAGAGCAATATTCGCTTCTTGAAGCTGTGCCAGAGTCTTCATCATCCAGTACGAAGCTATGGCCCTGTACTCTACATCCAGACCTTCTGCTATGGACTTGGCAACTTGGAAGCATTTTAGAGCGCCTTCTCCACCATCCTGCTGAATGATCAATCCAAGGCCCATGGCAGCATGATACCTCAGAAAATCTGATCTTGCGGAATCGAGGCAGGAGTCGAACAGAGCTTTGTCTCGATGGAGTGTTGCCACATGAAACGCTGACAGTGCCTGTGGATCTTCTTCTTCCTGCTGCTGGTCGTTTGCAAAGCACTCCAGCAGAAATACCGAGAGGCTCTCGGGCTCCAAATCCTTTTCTGAAAAGTGACCGATGACGCCTTGGAGGAGCTTGGTACTCCACAGAAATCCATCGGCATCTCCCTGTTTCAAACAGATGAAATGGCAGTCAACAAAGCTCTTGACAGCAGCCTTGAGATCTTGCTTGCTCTCAAACAACTCTTTCAGCACAAGAACAGCTCGTTTCAAGCAAGACGAACAACAAGTCCCCTCCATTTCTTGCTCGAATCTTGCAGCCGTATCTATTTGACCCGCAAGTAGCACTTTAAACTATTCATCACATGCATCGTGCTCAATGCAAGCTTACCCTTTGACTCGGGCGAGAAAGGCTGGAAAAACTTTAGCAATGCTTCTACAAAGAAAAACAAACGTTGATTGTGAAATGGAAAGATGAAGGAATGAAACCACTTGCCTGGAAGCTTTAGCACAGAACAATGGAAAGGAAGAATTTCCACAGGCTATCGGCCGAGAAAAATGATCCATCAGAATGTCAATGCCTGAAGAAAATACGATCTACATGAACAAATTGAAGATCAGTACCAGTGAAACTTAACATGATCACGTCCAAGATCGCATTAAAGCTGAAGAAGCTTTCACAATGCTTCTGAACGAAAAAAAAGAGTTGATCGTGAAATGAGAAGATGGCCAAAGGGCAGAACGATTTTGAAAGGAAGAATTTCCACAGGCTACCGGGGAGAACGATCCATCAGAATGCCTGAAAAAAATTATAAGATTTTTGATCTGCATTTCAACAAAATCCTCCAAAATGCTGCTTACATCCAAGATCGCGAGTCGAAGAGCGCCATTTCACCCCATGGATGGAGGAAACGAAAATAAAAGCTCTTTCTGCAAGAAGAACCCTAAACCCTAAACCTCACGTTTATTTTCCCTGCATTTTCATCTTTGCGTTAAGGGGATGTAGCTCAGATGGTAGAGCGCTCGCTTAGCATGCGAGAGGCACCGGGATCGATACCCGGCATCTCCAAATTCTCTTGAAGAGCATCCATTTTGACGACTTGCGTTGACTATACTTGACCAGGTCCACTAGAGGAGCTATGGAATGTGGAAGAGCCCTAACTTATGATCAAGAGCTTGTCGCGCTTGAATTTGGGATTGGGCGGGCAATGCCGGCGCTCCAGCTGTGAATCCAGGCACGGCGCCCCAGCGGACAAGGTGAGAGTCACAATCTTGGCGCGATTGAGAGCCGCTAGCAGCGCCCGGGATCTAGACAGGGGAAGACTCGCGCACGCCGACGCCATCGCCAGCGGCATCGATTCCAATGCCTTCGTCGCCAGCAGCCTCATCAACATGTACGCCAAATGCGGATGCCTGGCGGAAGCCCGGAAGATTTTCGAGAGGATGGACAAGCGCGATGTGGTGTCTTGGAACACATTGCTCATGGGGTATGCGGAGAATGGCCGTGGCGACTTGGCGCTGGAGATTTTCTCGCAGATGGAAGCGCAGGGCATCGAATCGAACAGGCTGAGCTTCCTTGGCGCTTTCAAGGCTTGCATTGCTGTGGCCGGGAAAGAAGTGGGGATTCTCGTGGATGGAAAGGTCGTGAAGGTCGAATCGCTGGGCATGGGCATGGGTATACACGCGAAAAGCTTGAGAAGCTTGAGAAGAAGAGGACGCTATCAGCAGGAAGACGAAGATATCAAGCTTCCAAACACAGTGATCGACATGTACTCCAAGTGTGGGAGCTTGAGAGATGCTTTCATGATTTTCGAGAGGATGCCATGGCACAGCGTCATCTCTTGGACAGTGCTGATGCTCGGCTTTGTGGAGAATGGGGAGGAAGAGCTGGCGTTGGAGCTCTTTGACAAGATGACAGAGATGGAACTTTTAGAGCCGGACGATCGAACTTTCGTTGCTGCTATCAAGGCCTGTGCTGCTCAAGCCGAGAAAGAAGCTGGAGTGGAGATCAGTGCCAAGCGAATCAAGCTAAAGTTTCTGGAGAAAGGGATGGAGATCCACGCTCGAGCTCGAGCTCAAGGCCACTACGACACGGACGTGTTCGTAGGAAACGGTCTTGTGGATCTATATGCCAAGTGTGGAAGCATGCTCGACTCTCGCCGGGTTTTTGAGAAGATGGTGACGCGCGATGCCATCTCCTGGACCTCGCTGATGCTCGGCTACGATGACAACGAAGAACCAAAGTTGGCGCTGGAGCTCTTCGAAGCCATGGACTGTCCACCGACGGCTCTCTCGTTCGTGGCGGCGTTCAAGGCTTGCTCGAGCCTGGCAGAGCCGGAAGCTGGAGTTTCACTGGATGAGAAGCTCGTGGTGAAGCTGGAGATCCTCGACAAAGGCATGGCTCTTCACTCCCGAGCCGAGAGAGCCGGCTTCGACCGTGAGATCCTGGTGGTGAACACGCTGGTAAACATGTACGCGAGCTGTGGAAGCATGGCCGACGCTCGCCGGGCTTTCGACAGATCCTTGCAGCGCGATCTAGTTCTCTGGACGTCACTCATGGTGGGATACGTTCAAAACAGCCAAGGATCACAGGCACTGGAGATTTTCACGCGCATGAAGCAGGAAGTTCGTGGTTTCTCCGCGGATCCTCGGACTTACTGCGCTGCTCTCAAGGCCTGCGGCTCCTCCGCGGGGATCGGACTCGCCACTGCCATCCACGCCGACCTCTGCCGCTACTGGAGCTTCATCGAGCACGATCCAGTTCTCGCAACCACCCTGCTGGATTCCTACTGCAAATGCGGCAGCGTGCTCGACTCCCAACTCGTTTTCGATCTTCTTTCAGTGGCTGACTCGGTTGCCTGGACTGCTCTCGTCGCAGGATATGGCCGCAGGGGAGACACAGCCAGAGTTTTCGCGCTGGTGGACGCTATGATCGAGCAAGGCGTGGAGCTCAACAAGGTAACCTTTCGTTGCGTTCTCACGGCTTGCAGCCATGCAGGGCTCGTCGCTCGAGGGAAGCGCTACTTTGCGAGGATGACGAGCGAGTTTGGGATATCTCCCGGGATCGAGCACTACGTTTGCATGATCGATCTCTTGAGCCGGGCCAACGAGCTGGAAGCCGCGGTGGAGATGGTGCACAGGATGCCATTCAAGCCCAATGCGATGGCGTGGATGGTGCTCTTGGCCGGGTGCCAGAAGTGGAAGAACGTAGAGATCGGGAGAGTTGCGTATGAATCGCTGGTGGAGCTCGACAGGAACAACGCTGCGGTGTATGAGATCATGTCAAACATCTTTCGAAGCACATCAAAAAATTCTCTGGTGAATTGACGTAACCGGCTCTAGTTGACCTGTTTGACAAGAGTTGAACGGGTTTGACCGGCCCCGGCCTTGGTGAGACGTTTTATTTGCGGGGATCGAGGAAGAAGATTTTACCGCTAGTTCTAAGGATAAGAATTTACGTACAGTGGAAGTTCCAGATCGTGATTTGCTCGGAATCGTCGAGATTGTCTGGCCCGTTGTCTGGGAATTCGTCGTTGCCAGTGCCGGGCCATTCTGGCCGGAAGTCGAGATGATCGTCGTCCCAAGCCACGCTCGCCAGCCAATCCGATCCGGAAGAGCTCCCCTCGAACGATTCATCCACCACCTCGAAGTGCTCCAGGAACTTGGATCCTGGCGGCGGCGCCGGGGCTGCTGGCGGAGGCCCATGATCGTTGTTGCCAGAGCTGGGAAGCTGGAGGAGACTCTGATGGTGCTTGAAGCTCTCGGTTTGATCGAGGCGAGGAGCTGGAGGGAGCTGGATGGATCCGGAGAGCTGCTGGTAGCCATGGCGGAAATTGGCAGTACTAGTCGAGAAGCTCGCGGACGAGGATGATGCGCGGACCACTTGCGCGGAGCTCAGGCTCTCCACCACTCTGGCGTACATCTCCGTCACGCGATTGGATCGCTGCTGGAGCGAGAAATTCACGGACGAGGCCATGGATGATCGCGAGGCGAGGAAGAGAAGATCCAGTGGCGACGACGGGGACGACGCCGGGGAGAAGGAATTGATCGATTGCCGCTGAAGCTGGAGCTGCTGGTGGTGGCGGTGATGATCCAGGCGATGCTCCAGCTTGAATCTTTTGGCTGGATTGGCTGCCGATTGATCCATGGACGTCGACGATGGATGATCGGTCGTCTTGTTCTTGCTATCGGGGAGATTGAGATGGGCTTCCGGGCCGTAGAGCCGCTTGGCAGCCTCATCGTAGGCTCGCGCCGCCTCGTCCGCTGTGGCAAACGATCCAAGCCATAGCCGCGATCGCTTCTTGGGCTCGCGAATCTCCGCGACCCATTTCCCCCACGTCCTCTGCCTCACACCCCGATACGTGCACGACGCATTCTCCGGCCCGCCCTTGCCCCTCATCGATCCCTTCTTGCTGATGATCGCGGCGCTCGATCGATCATCTATCACTCAATCGATCTCCACCAATTCGCCGCCCCTTGTCTCGCGATCGGGGGCAGTGGCGACGCGCTCGCGATCGAGACAGGATCAAGAATCATAGGGAGAATGTGTCGCTGCAGAGAAAGCACCAAGAACAATGGCCCCCTCTGGGCGACTCCAGAAGAAAAAGGGAGAATCCATGTTTCTGACGTGGCACTTTGCGCGAATGGCACGCTGGAAAGTCTCTCTACGTGTCATTCCTTATGGCCTGACACGTCAGAGAATAAGCGCGGCATCTTCCACTTGTCCGCTGATGTGGAGCTAATCATCAGTGCCCGCTTTTTACCCCGCCAGGAGTCACGTTTTTACCCAACGTGTTCACGAGCGCATCAATCATCACATGCATGAATTTCTTCTCTCGAGCCGTATCGCATACATGGTAAATAAACAGTAGATACGCCTGTCAGACCATGGAATGGAATGGTAATTTGGCAACGTAGCGTAGAAGCCCGTCACTGGCCTTCACGGGGGCGGCATCGAAGCACGGGCATGCCCGTCAGTGAAGTTTTATACGATCTTCCCATGGTAACTAAAAGAAAAGGGCCACACGGGAAACGCCGTGACACCGTTGGGAAATCTTCCATGCCAATCTGTAAAGAACAATCGCATTACTACCAAAAATTCTTACTGTACAAATGCGTGAAAAACTCCTTTGTATGAATTTTTTTTTCCTTCATTGACGCCTCATTGGCATCTCTTCGCCGGGCGCCTCCACGTCTTGCTTAGAGCTCGTCGGAGAAGAATATATATGAGAGGGAAGGTTGGTATAAACACCTGCGATAAGAGAGACATGAGATAATTGGCTATGGAAACCATGGAGAAATCTATCATACCCATCGAGTTGTCCTTGCCATAGTCTTTCGTTACGTGCAGCAAATAGGTGCCTGACAGTATGGTGATGAAACCAGAAATCTCGGAGACAATATTTCGAGGGCTCTGTGTATCCCAGTCCTGGAATAGGAATAGCAGCTTGTGATAAAGGAAAACATCGAGTGAACTTCTCACCTTGAACATAATCACGCTAGCAACAATCGTGAACGTCGTGAACATTACATAGTAGATTGGTGACACAACCGCTGTGTTGAATGTGTCAAGAGCCTGGACGAAGCTTTTAGATCTGGATTGCAAGCAATGCAAGAAAAGAATAAAATGCCTTGCCTTGTTGAGGTAGTTCATCTGAGTGACCACACAGGTGACAAGAACCATTCCAAACACCCACGTTTGCGAGTAAATAAGCTGATTAGAGCCCTGGAATGTAAGCTTGATGGCGATTCCCAGAGCTTTTGCACTCATGACCTGGTGTGAGAGCAAGCTCGTAAGTCTAAACCAAAAGCAGAAAGGAAAGAAGAACGCGAACTTACGGAAAGAGATCCCATCAAGGAGCAGATGCCAACGTAGACCATAACTTGAGTTTGGCCGATTCGAGGCACAAAGTGAAACGTGAGCACGAGAACCACAGAAACGACTGCCAGTGCATAAAGCAAAAAAGCTGGGAAGCAAACGAGCTGGTTAGTTATTTCCACCTAAAAGGAAAAAAGAAAAGAGAAAAAGAAAAGAAGAGAACTTAAATCTACCTGGTTCTGTAGCAAGTCGCCAAACTTCGTCCACTGAATTCATGATACGTTCTTCGGGAGCATTTAAGACAATTCCCACGGATCCAACCACACAGAGAAGACATCCTAGAATTCCCAGTCCAGCAAGCTTCTCCTTGAGCATGATATCCGCTAGAATCGCACTGCATATCACAACCCAGCGAGTTATAAATCCAAAAACTAGTAGCGATCGTATCGAGCAGCATACACACCTGACAATGATGCTGAGTGCTCCCAAAGGAGTGACGAGAACCGCTGGTGCGAAAGCATAGGCAGCAAAGTTTGCAATCTCGCCAACGATCACTGCGAAAAAGAAATTCACGCATAGGTTAGTAGAGACGCTTAGAGTTTTGTTTCTCACGTACTCGTGATCATGCCAGACCACCATAGCGGCTCCAATAAATAAGAATAGCCTCCCACTCCTGCAAGATATGGTTTTAGATCGAATGTAAATTCAATCCATGATCGAAGAAAACTAAAGATAAAACCAAGGAGGTACCTGCTCGTACTCCTGAGGCGCCCGCTTTCTTCAATCCCTTCTTCTTCATGATAAAGCTGGAGCCAATAAACACACTAGACGAAAGGGCTAGAATGAGCCCTACGTGATTGGTCTCTCTCCTCACCGGCTCTTCCACAACATTACCAAATTCCAATCCCGCCATAGCTGACCGACGATCGCTTGCTCGCTACATCCTGATCGATTCACCAGCGTCTGGATCTCGGTGGATAGATCCAATCCATGGCGTCCTAAAACCCTTCCCTGCTCGAATGCTGACCGATTCTCCCTTTCCTTGCCTCGAATCTATCGCGCCAGGATGGATTGGAGCTCCGCGCACGCAGCGATCATGGATTCACGCCTCGTCCCATAGCCGCCCTGTGAGAAAGTTTTGAGTTCTCTACGATCGTACCTAGCTGTCCAGAAAATAAAAAACGACTATTAAAATTTTCGAGGAATATGCTTGCATGCCGCTCCAAAAATTCCCTGCGGCCAAGATTTTGCCACGTGGAGTTAAGCTGGCGGGAAATAAATTTGAAACATTAGGGCTCTTGGGACATAAATCTTAGGGCACATGGAAGTGAATGGTTTGGCTGAAATGCTCGGCGACAGCAACGCGATTCGGGGCGGAATTTTGGATCCAGCGATACGATGTGAGTGAAATCTGTGCTCTGCGCTCTTGATCTGTCGCTTTTCTGTCCAGTGGTACGCTCTCTCGAGGCTGAGATCGTTCCTCAAGTACTCCGGCAATGAGGCCGCTAGGGATGGGGATAATCACGCATTGCAGAACGCACCTGGGATTCCGGAGCTGCTGGTCGCATCTAAGGCGTGCAGCTGCTCCAGAGATCTCGAGATCGCCAGGAAAATCCACACACAGGCGTGTGATGGATCGAACATCTACTTGGCGACCAGCCTGGTGGATATGTTCGCCAAATGCAGGAGCATGATCGATGCCTGTGCCGTCTTCGACCGGATGCCTTGTCAGAACGTCGTCTCGTGGACAGCGCTAGTTCTTGGGTATGTGGAAATTGGGAAGAATGCTGTGGCTTTGGAGGTTTTCACGAGAATTGCTGCTCCAGATGCTTTGAGCTTTGTTGCGGCGCTGGTTGCTTGCGCGAACTTGGCTACGGCTGCTTCGGACGACGGTCACCAGCTCAACCAAGACAAGCTCCAGTTCTTGGAAACGGGAATGGCACTTCACTCCCGTGCTCTCCAAGCTGGTTACGACGAATCCATTGTTTCGCTGGCGAATACACTCATCAGCATGTATGCCAAGTGTGGAAGCTTGGTCGACGCAAGGATGGTTTTTGATCGGGCTCCGCAGCACACTGTGGTGTCTTGGAACGCATTGATAGCTGGATATGTTGAGAACGGAGAGGAGGAACTGGGATTGGAACTATTCTGGTGGATGGTCCAGCAGCACCAGCATTGTCTACCGGACTCTCGGACACTTGTTGCTGCTCTTACAGCTTGCACCAGCTTGGTTTCAAAAGAAGACGGTGTTAAAGTCGATGGGAAGTTGGTCAAGCTCAAGGGAATGGAGCAAGCTATGGCGATCCACTCTCAGGCTGTACGAGCTGGACAGGACAAACAAGTTTATGTTGCGAGCAGTATTATCAACCTCTACGCGAAGTGTGGGAGCATGGTAGACGCGATCTTGGCTTTCTACAGGATGGAAACTCGGGATGTAGTGTCCTGGACATCACTGATACTGGGATACGGGGAAAGCGGGGAAGGCGAACTCGGTCTAGAACTCTTTCGGCAGATGCAAGCTCAAGGGTGTTATCCCGACGCTCGGACTTACGTTTCTGTGCTGAGAGCATGCGGGGATTGTGCGGACCGAGACGAGAATGTGACACAGGTTGATGGAAAGCTGGTGAAGGTCACGAGCTTGGAAAAGGCATTTCCTCTTCACTGCCAAGCTGCCAGGGACGGCTTCCTGGACAACGTATTCGTGGCGACTAGTCTGGTGGACGTCTATGCAAAGTGTGGAAGCCTTCTGGACGCTCGCATGGTGTTTGACAGGATGCAGTATCACAGTCCTGTGTCCTGGAATGCATTGATCCTGGGCTACGCCGAGAATGGTGATGCCGAGGTGGCCCTCGACATATTCTCGAGAATGAGAGCTCAAGACGGCTGCGAGGCAAGCGACTCCCGAGCTTTCGTAGCGGCTTTGATAGCATGTGGGAGTCTGGTGGCACTTGAGCTTGGGAAAGTAGTTCATGGCGAAGTCCTTCGGCTTGGACTCGAGACAGACACTTACGTTGCCAATTGCTTGGTGGATTTCTACTCGAGGTGCGCTAGCATGGCCAGTGCTCATCGAGTGTTCGAGTCCATCAGTAGCAGCAGCAGGAACTTGGTGACTTGGAGTGCGTTGATGTGTGGCTACAGTCGTCGCGGTAAGACCGACATGGTATTTTCACTGTTTGAAATGCTCAAGAACGAAGGACACCGCGCAGATGGTATCACCTTCCTCGCACTTCTCACTGCTTGCAGTCACGCTGGTCTTGTAGAACGAGGAAAGAGGTACTTCCAGGAGATCCTCTCTTCACAGGAGACCAAGCCTTTAGCTCAGCACTACGACTGCATGGTCGATCTTCTAGGCCGGGCAAATTATCTTGACGAAGCAGTACTGCTGGTGAAGTCCATGCCTTATAAGCCGAACGTGGTAACTTGGAACGCTGTCCTGGGAGCCTGTCGGAAGTGGAAAAATGTGGAGCTTGGGAGGCTGGCATTCAATACACTGGTGGAGCTCAACGAGAAGCAAGCGTCCACTTATCTCACCATGGCAAGCATCTACGGAAGCGTTGGTATGTGGGAAGAGCAAGCCAAAATCTTGTCCATGAAGCGGCTCGCGAGGCCTTGGAAGGAGCCTGGTGTGAGCTGCTGGACGGATCATCATGGTGTGGTACACAGGTTCAGAGCTGGAGATTGCTCGCACGCTCAAAGTGAAGCTGTTGGAATCAAGCTCAAGCAACTACTGGTTCGAATGAAGGAAGGAGGCTATGTTGCCCAGCTAAGCAGTATTTCCTGTAACGTCTCGGACTGTCAGAAAGAGGAGGCTTTGTGCGAGCACAGCGAGAGGCTAGCCATTGCTTGTGCACTCATCAATACCGCTCCAGGTGCAGTCATTCGGATCGTAAAGAACTTGAGAGTTTGTGACGACTGCCACCAAGCGACTGCTGTTATCTCGGCGATCGAGCGGAGACGTATCATCTGCAGGGACTCGAGTCGCTTCCACGTCTTTGAAGGTGGGAAGTGCAGTTGTGGGGACTTTTGGTGATCCTTGTTATCTACGTCCGTGGAGTAATACGAGGAGGTGGCGATCAAAGCCATCGCTTTCCAAGGTATTTTGTGACGTCTCTGGCTTTTAGTTTCTCACTTTTGGATCCATGGCAGGCATTGAAATTGAGGTTTGCAAGACCAAGTACATGGTAAAGCTAGAAAGTTTCCCAGGGAAAACTAAGGGGAACAATTTCCTTCTTCATGAAGAGTCCGCAAGTTCTCGTAAGTTTTTTTTGGTTGCATGGCTCCTTGGTAATAATGTGTCGATTGGAGGCTTCAGTTGCGAGGATTTTTTGCTGTGGAAGATGGATTTCAAGGCGTAAGCTGTTTGTATCTTTTATTTTCTAATTTTTGTTCACAGTTTATCGCTCAGCTTTCCAAAAAGTTGTTAAGTTCAATCCAGAGCGTAGCTTATGGTTCTTTGCAGGTGATGGCGTTCGTCCACTCCACTAGCTGCAAATGCTACGCATGATGGAAGCATTACCGGAGATAAGGTACACGGACGATCTTCCATAGTACGTAAGCTCTCCCGCACCGTGGCTGCTCTCGAGGTAGGCCTTGAGCGAAAAAGGATATGGTGTCTCCAGGGACTCCAAGAGATTGATTGCTCTCTCGAAATGCAGGGATGTCTTTCTGGGGAATTCTCCCCAGGCTATCCTGAGAGACCCTTCCATGTACTCTGCCGCGGCCTGTCCGAGTTTTTGGTACGCAAAAGCGCGGCTTATTTTTTTCATCTCTGTTTGGATTTCGTGCGCCTTTTGGAACATCTGGTTCTCTCGGAGTGAATTGAACTGCTCCATCATCGCGTTTATTATAAGCTCCTCCTTTCCGGTTTGGAGGGCACACTTCTTGGATCTCTCCAGGTACTCGTGAATGGTCCTTGCTTCGTATGACGCATTGGCCAGTGCATATGCCACAAAGTAGCTTAACAGGGGTGTTGTTGCTCTTTCCAGGGACTCCTTCAGGAACTCGTACTGCTCATCCGAGACTTTACCGTCCGTTGATCCCACTCTTCCCACGTAGTATTTCGTCCACGCCTCTTGGTCCTCATCGTCTCTGGAGTGCTTCCGGAAGCACGCAACCATGCGAGAGATCATTCCTGGCGTGTCACCTTTCGTTTCTCGGCCGATATACTCGTCGAGGAACGTCCCGGCCGCCCAGAGACTGTCCATATCATCCATCTTCACAGCGATCTGGTGAGCGAGCACTAGAGAGTCAATGGCGGTGACAGAAACATGGGCGGCGTCCTGGTACATGACCTCGATTCCTTCTTCAACGTAGGACCTGGCATCTTCAGCATCGCTCCAGCCTTCTTGGAGCTTGACTATCTCCAGTCTTGCTTCTCGGTACAGATCATAAGCAACCAAGCAGGCCTTGAGTGGTATACCAGGTACTTTCTCTTCTTTTGGCAGCATGAGCATGTAAAACTGTGCGAACCTCCGATATCTAGTGTAGTTCAAGATACACCGTTGGGAGCAGCACCTCGATCCTAGCTTCTCGTCAAGCTTAAGTTTGACATTCACCATCAGCTTTACAAGCTTTCTTCTAGCAGCCGCGTATGCAGCGACAACTTCCTCTCGAGGTTCGCCTTCTTTATGCTTGATTATTGCGTTGACCATGTCAAGCAGAGCTGCTGAGAGCACAGATTCTTCGGTAGACACTTCCAGGCAGAGAGTTTGAGCGTCTTCTATCTCGCCAAGCTGCACCAAAGTCTTCGCGATCTGGTATGAAGCAAAAGCCTTGTATTCTATGTATGCCGGCTCCAGGCTTTCGGCAATGAACTTACTAACTTGGAACCATTTCAGAGCGTCGCGGCAGTCTTCACCATTTCGCTCTTGCTGTTGAATCACCGATCCGAGTCCCATCCCAGCATGGTACCTTAGTAGATCGGAAGTCGCAATGTCGAGGCAAGAGATGAACCAAGTGGCACTAAGATGACGACTTGCCACATGAAACTCTGCCAGTGCTCGTGGAGACTCCGACTCCTGGTGCTGCTTACCTTCATCTTTGTCAGCAGTGCTTTCAAAGCATTCCAGCAGAAACGCATACAGATTATCCGGCTCCAACTCTTTCTCCGTGAAATGGTTGATGATGCCTTGGAGGAGTCTGATACTCCATTGAAGTCCATCAACATCTCTCTCCCGCAGACAGATCCAATGGCATTCCGCAAAGCTCTTTGCGGCAGGCTTGAGATCCTGCTTGCTCTCGAACAATTCGTCCAGCAAACGGACAGCGCCTGCCAAGTAAGAGGCCGAACACTTCTCCATTTCTTTCAAATGCTTACAGCTGTTCTGCAGGAAAAGGAGTTCCTGGACTTTGAAGCGATATGATGGTCAAATAGCAAGAGCACCGACAACTTCACGATCTCCGGTGCGCGTTTCAAGCCCACAATATATTTCAAGACGAAACAAAAGTCTTCCCTGGAACATGGAGCTTCTAAGCAAGTGAGGAATTTGCTTTTCTCCTCAAAATGGTTTGACATGACTGCAGGACTTCTCGTTCGCCGCGGCTTTGTGAGTGCACTGAGCTTTGAGATCACGCTGGATGGCAAGGAGTGGCATCAGGCTCCATGATAAGCTAAGTGCGGAAGTAGAAGAAATAGGCAACAGCCTGGATAAGCTTCGAAAAGAAGAGGATCCTGAGGAACAGGAATCACAAATTTGTCAGCTGCTGCAGACTTTGGCCCTGGACAGAGATCATGAGCTACCTGCTTTGCAAATTTTTCGATCTGAAGTGTGGATGAAGATGGCTGACTTATCGTGGGCATACTATGACAGATTGCCATCGGGAGATCCCCCCCTTCTGCTGGTGAACGAATTTATGGCAGAGTCGATTCGACTAGCAGAGTGTACTTACCTTCGACGTACCATCGTCCCTCTACGTCTTTGGCACCATGGTTATCTGCTGTGGAAGATGGGCTTCGACGTTGAATCCGTCCGAAAGTACGAAGAGATGATCAGGTTGGTCACTTTTGTATCGTTTTTCTTCCCTGTTTTGATCATTGTTTTGGGTCAGGTGTTGGCTGCGAGTGAATTCAAACTTTGGCTACTTGAGCACAGGAAGGATCACAAACTTAGAGTCCATCAAGTACAACTTCGATCAGGTCCAGAGTTCCCTATGCGCTTTGAGCGATTTCAAGCGGGCATTGCTCTGGTTTGAGAGGGGTCATGCAAGGGACATGCTGTTCTTGGCCACGACCGAAGGTGACCACGAGAAGCTCGACGAGTTCGACATGGACGACGAGAAAGCATGGGGGCAAGTCGAAGTCATTTCCAAAGACGTCGGAATTGACACAGTCATCTTGGTCATATCTCACATCGGTGGATTATCTGTAAGCGACGGCAGGGTGATATCCTACGGAGTGGCTTCCTACCTGTTGCACAATGGCGAGCTCGTCGGGCATAACCGAGAATGGGACTTCAAGGCTTGTTCACCGTCGGCGTTATTGGAGCTCCTGCAAGCTAACAATGCAGACAAGGCTCTCAGGGATTACTACCATATTATTGTCAAGCCTTTTGAGTCACAACTGGAAAGCATTCAACCGAAGACACTGGTTATAGTTCCAAATGAGGTGAGCACTAGTTTCTTGTTCTTTTGCTTGCAAACTGTGAAAACCCGCGATTACAGGATGTTTCCTTTGTGCCATTTGGTGCCATGATCGATGAGGACGACAAATACTTGATCGAGAGGTATGCTCTAGCGACTGTTTCCTCGTTAAGACTCTTGAAGCATTGCGACAAGAGAAGACAGGTCCTGCAGCAGCAGCAGCAGCAACGGCAATCTCGTTCGCTGATCGTAGGGAACCCCACCAGAGATCTATACTATGCCACCGAGGAGGCAGAGATGGTGGGATCCCTTCTAAAGAGTGCCAACGCGCACAGTGTCGTCAACTTGGTCCGAGAAGATGATGCAACAAAGGAATTTGTGCTGCGGCAGCTTCCCGAGAGTGACTGGATTCACATCGCGAGCCACGGCACAGTTAGCACGGACTTTCCAGATGGAGCTCTGATTTTGGCAGTGCCAGAAGAGCATCAAGACGACCTTGCAAAGTCAGCTCGCCTCGACAGATCTGTGGAGTTTGAGGAGTGCCTCACGAGAGCTCTCACAACAGTGTCGAACTCGCACAGGCTTACAGGGGACGAAGTCGTAGAGCTTGCAGGTGAAAGTCCGTTCCGAGCATCAGCGGCGGTTCTCAGTGCCTGCAGCTCAGGAGTTGGGAGAGTGTTTGCCGAAGGAATCCTGGCGCTGCCAAGGTCGTTTCACATATCTGGAGTTCCGTCCGTGGTGATATCACTCTGGAACGTGAAAGACAAGTCCACTCAGGTGCTCATGAAGAAGATATACTGGAATCTGGTCCAAGGAATGGATATTGCGAGTGCTCTCAGGGAGGCTGTCGTGGAGATGATCGAGGCCAACGATGGTAGCCAGAAGCTTTACGACGTGAGCCACTGGGCAGCTTTCATCGTCTCGGGGAGTCCCTTCACGACACTACCAGGAGTTACAAGGTCGCCAGCAGCGTGTTCCTGGAACACGTGATTGGAGTGGCTCGATACGGCATTCTCTTCACCATGGCTATTGCACATCGATCATGCAGTGAGTGGTAATGCTCTCGATCGATCGGAGCAAGCTAGAACTGAGAGGGAAGTTATATCGTCCTCCGTCTCCCATCAAGCTCATCACGATTGGAGTCTCCTTTTTGAAGCCAAGAGCGCAGGAGATTCTTGGTAGTTATGGAGTCGAAAAGTTGGCCAGAGCAAGCATAATATCAAATAATTAGCATGGGAGATTACTTTTCCATCACTATCTCCCAAGTGTTTCTCTTGATAACTGCAACCTTTAACTCCGCCATGCTCTGTTCTCAAAAGAAGAAGATACCAACACCAAGTACCAGAATTTTGCCATCCAGTGGCAAAAGTCAGTCTATTCATGTGTGGTTGCTCCGCTTTGTGCCAAAACCCCCGACTTGCGCACGCTCTTATCATAGAAACTTCACAAAGGGCCCATTACTTTGACTTTCAAGCCTCCATGAAGCCATTTTTTGTCATGAATGGACAAATAGAGTTCTCCGATATAACAATGACATCAATTGTGATCATAGGAAAGTCACATAGAGTACCTATTTAATGGTATCATCAAGAAGATCATCGTGCCAATGCCCCAGCACATGCTGGATGTCTCTTTTATCCTTGGTAGTCCCTAACTGCAATACAGAAACATATCTAAGTATGAATAAAAACAATCCAAACGAATGTTTCCGCGTTGCGAGACCATGCCTGCATAATGGACATGCAGAAAAGCTTCCTCGCCCAAAGATTAAGTGAAGTGACTTTCTCTCCCTCTGTCCTCGTGGTGCCTATAAACAGTTAATGAATGAACGGACCTTTTAGCCCAAATACTTGCTCTAAAGCCACATTTTTCAACAAGCAATCAGCCTTATTAATGGCATGCATAAAAAGGAATTTGAGCGATCTGGTTGTTGCAGGCTTTCGCGCCTCGAGGTGGTCCAATGTTTATTCGGTGGCGCGTGCGCGAGCTCTAAGGATGCAGGAACTGAGGCACAATTCTTGTCACTGTTTAGACGGGGAGAAGATTACAAAGTTCAGTTAATTTCGCTCTGGGCACTGGCTTGCAAATCTAGCTTTAATTGCGAAGAGGCAGTGTCTACTTATCTATCTGAATAGAAAAATAGGTTCTCATGCACAGAATGGTAGCTAGGTAAAATGTCTCTGAATGGGGATCGTTCCACAAGACGCGAAGCAGGAGGAGTTGCGTGAAGCACTGCGCGGAGAAATTTCTTTATCTTGCTATCACATAAGCCATTTTAAGGCTCAACATAGAAAAAGCAGACGTGAAAGCAATAGGCAGAAGAAAAAGGCATTGATTATATATTGTTCAGGAAGAAAAAAGACTAAAAATCACTATCTACCCGCTCCTCTACATTAATTTGATCATCCTTCATGATTCCTCCTTCCGTTTGAAGAAATGAACATCAAGCTTAGCATGCATGCCATAGACATCCAGATTCAAGTGCCTCATATGGTTCAGCTGTGAAGGCGCACCACCTCTACTTTGACCAACTTCAGGCACAGGAGCAAGCGACGGTACACCAGGAGTAGTAGCAAAGACTTCCTCAACACTGAGTCATGGTCTTGAGAATCTGGATCACCTTGTCATTTGTTTTGCCAAGCAGCGCATCATCAAAGCCAACAACATGCAACGGGGTGTCGAAGTTGAACTCAATGTACAACACACAAACACAAAGTCCAAGAATAGCTACAGCTGCTGCAGCATCAAAAATTCTTACATGGTATCAGGTTGAAAACGATCCAATGGCCAATCCCAACTGGTGCAGACGACCACTGGGAGATGAGGAGGAAACGACACAAGCACTCGCAACACTTGCGAGAGCACACCGGATCCAGGAGCGCAAGAGGCAGGATGAGATGCAGCATTGCCCCGCTACTCTAGGACCTGCCCCTAGGAAAGACCAGTTTTCACCACCACCTCGTTACTAAATTTCTTCTAGATTCTAACAATGGCTGGGTCTTCCTCTAATACCCCACCTCCTGCAAATCTAGGCTCATCTCCTGAAAACTGAGACGGTTGGGAGAAGATGCTTAACAAACTCACGGGAACAAACTTCGCGACATGGTGAGCCAAAGTCCAACTCATTCTCCTTGCTAAGGACTGCTGGGGTATCGTGGATGGAACAGAGGTATCGTGATATCCTAAACCTATGGACCTCGCACTTCAACTTACATGAGAGAGTGGCAATCGCAGCAAACTGGGATGCTCGTCTCGCTGTTTTCTCGGCCAAGGCTGAGAATGCTAAAGTGACCCTTACCCAGAAATTTCTGAACATGCGCATGGACATAAAAGACTCTGTCACGACCTACATCAGCAAGCTTTGAGGTCTCATGGCTAGTATCTGTCTCGAGTCCAAGCCGAAGGACTTCACCATGAACTCTTTTACCAAGCTCAAGTGCCACCAGACTCCCACATGCTATTAAAGCCGCTACAAAAGCTCGGGAGTTGCTTGCCTTGCAGCCCTCTTGAGCTCTCATTCTCAAGAATATGTCGACGGTCACCAGACTAGTCGGCACGAATATGTTGCCCAGGAAGCCATCCCTGGCAGCTTGACAGTGAAGAGCAAATGCCTTTCCAATCTCGTGACCTTCACCAGCTCAACCTGTGTCACATTCTAATCTCGATCCGCACACATGCTCTCAGCACAGCAACGTAAGTCCGTTGGGGCAACTTCCTTGAGCTTGCATTTGCCAGAACTTCAGAAGAGTTCTAGACCTAGTTCGCCTTCCCCGCTTTCTCCGTATCCCAGTATCAGTGGTGTCTAGGACACTACATCCCAAGTTTCCATCCTGTAGAAAGCCAAGCTCGCGTCTACCATGCTCCCACACTTCGCGTAGAGGTTGATAATACTGCTCTCGACATAAACTTGTTTGTCCTGTCCAGTTTGTGAAGCCTGAGAGTGGATCCCCATAGCTTCTTTAGCTTCACAACTTTCCATCGACTTTTAAGCCCTATTCTATTGAAACCACCAGTGTCTGAGAGTCTGGTAGACACTGCTGGTGCTGCTGGATCATCCATCAGAATACCAGTTCCTCCTCTCTGTTATCTGTTGGAACTAAACTGATACACCACACAACTTAGAGCACTTGGCACGCCAATGAAACAATGGATTTGTCGTAACCAGCTTGTAGAGCTCAGGAGTGAAGTGCCATTCCCATTTCCAAAAACGGTAACAGCCATAGCCAAGTTCATGCAAGCAACAAGTGCCGCAACAAAGCTCAAAGCATCTGGAGCAGCAATCCTCATGAAAACCTCTGAAGCTATATCATTCTTTCCAATTTCAACATACCCAAGAACTAGCACAGTTTGTTGTGACAAGCCATCCTGTTGAGGCATTGATCATGCTCCTGTATTTGATGAACATATCCACCAAGCTGATCACCAAGTAGATGTTTGATCCATCCCATATACCTATCAGGGTTGTGAATAGCAAACTTGAACAAAGTCAAATGTGTTTGAATGCCTTGCATACCACAAAAAAAACACCAATCTCAAACCACAATCTAGTCACACACGTTTCTCTTCTTCCTCATTGTGACACTCCTTTGTCACGGGCAGAACTCTTTCTGATCAACATAGTCCTACACCCAATCTTTCTGTGTTCACAATGCTAAATGCTCATGTATGGAAATAAATTTTTAGACTTTTAGGTTATCTTGTACATTTCTTTAGTTAAGACAGTTGAGAGCTTCATTATTGGACATACAATGTCTTTCATCCGAAATTTGGCGGAAAAGTTTGTTCATAGGCTGAAGCAGGATATAACTTGCAACTTCCACCTGCTAGAGGAAATGATCAATTCCAGGTTCTCACGGTCAGAAGACGAGTTCTGCTCACCTTTCGTGGAGTAGATTTACGTAGAGGTGTTTTGAAAGGCTTGGAGTTCTTCCCTGGAAGAGCACAGTAATCAGCTATGTGAGCAGTTGTGCGACGATGTGATATCTAGACATGGCATGCGAATCTCGGACAACTTTATTGTTAACAAGGTACCCTAGTCGTTTTGCAGCATTCCAACCAACATTCCTTTGCATGAACTGCTCACGGGTGAAAGGTATATGTACATTTCGATCCAGTTCAACTATGGCCAAGTGGACACTGTGATCATCTAGAGGGATATGAAAGGTAGACTTGGGGTGCAGTTCACTGGAAACGTAGACAAGCACAAGCACTCTGAAGAGCGGTTATGGCATTTAACGCCCTTATGGAGTGGGTGCCCAATGTAGTGGCTCTTGTGCAGTCTCAGCACAGTTAACTTCATAGTGTGTCGATTACATCGTTATATAGCTTGTATTGAATGCCAGCCTCCCAAACTCCACATTTTCCCACTTTTGACAGGCTCCCAGGCCTGTGTTCCAAGTTAATGCCACGTCAGTGATCCTGACTGATCTCTACCATCCACTTATCTCACCATGGCAAGTATAATACGGAAGAGTCGGTATATGGGAAGAGCAAGCCAAAATCTTGTCCATGAAGCAGCTTGTGAGCCTTGGAAGGAGCCTGGTGGAGCTGCTGGACAGATCATCATGGTGTGGTACACAGGTTCAGAACAGTAGATTGGTCACATGCGCAACACGAAGCTGTGGGAATCAAGCAACTACTGGCACAAATGAAGGAGGCTAGATTGCTCAGCTAAGTAGTACTTCTTGCAACATCCCAAACTGGTAGAAAGAGGAGGCTTTGTGCGAGCACAGAGAGAGGCTAGCCATACTTGTGCACTCATCAATACCGCTCCAGGTGCAGTCATTCAGATTGTAAAGAACTTGAGAGTTTGTGATGATACCACCAAGCAACTGCTGTTATCTTAGTGATCGAGCAGAGACATATCATTTGCAGGGACTCTGAGTCACTTCCACGTCTTTGAAGGTGGGAAGTGCAGTTTGTGGAGCAAAAACTCCAACACCACCAGGTATAGAGAACCACTACCTAGGGATTAGAGCTTTTTTGCTCCTCATCTTTGTCAGTCACCATTCAATTTTGAAAGTTTTGAATGGTTGTGTCTCCTAACTGGACAAATGTCTTAAAAGAATCACTCCACTCAATTCTTACCCATTGCTTCTCTTGTATTTTCTCATATTGATTGCCCAAAAGGTCACAACCCTAGGATTGTTATTAATATATTTTTAGACGATCAAAGTCATTGAAATTGACCAAGTACATGGTAGTTTCCGAGCAGAAGAATTTCTGTAGAGAGGAGGATTTTCTTCACTTACCATCTCTGGCAGGGGACCGACCACTATATCCATTCCAGGCCGCTTCTCGTAAGTTCTTTTTTGTTGCATGTCTCGCGAGGAATTCGGGGGTTTTGGTTGTTTGCTGTTCAAGGCGTAAGATGTCCTCAGGTCTGTATCTTTTCTTTTCTAATTTTTTGTTGACCACTAACACAATTTATCGCTCAGATATTGGATTGATGGTCGGAGCTTTCTAAAAAGTTGGTAACTTCCATCCAGAATGTTCTTTGCAGGTTAATTATTTGTGATGGTGTTTGTCCACCACTAGCTGCAAATCCTACGCATGATGGCCGGAGATAAGGTACACAGACAATCTTCCATAGTGCATAAGCTCTCCTGCGCCATGGCGAAAAAGGATAAGGTGTCTCAAGAGATGGATTGCTCTCTCGAAATGCAGGTTGTCTTGCTGGGAAATTCTCCCCACCTGAGAGACCCTTCCATGTACTCGGCCGCGGCCTGTCTGAGTTTTTGGTGCACTAAAGGCTTATGTTTTTCACCTCTAGAACTTCTTGGATCTCTCCAGGTACTCACGAATGGTCTTTGCTTCGTAGACGCATACCGCAAAGTAGCTTAACAGAGGCGTTGTTGCTCTCTCAGGGGAACTCAGCTCATCCGAGACTTTACCGTCCGTTGATCCCACCCTTCCCACGTAGTATTTCGTCCACGCCTCTTGGTCCTTAGCGTCTCTGGAGTGCTTCCGGAAGCACGCAACCATGCGAGAGTTCATTCCTGGCGTGTTACCTTCGTTTCTCGGCCGATATACTCGTCGAGGAACGTCCCGGCCGCCCAGAGACTGTCCATATAATCCATCTTCACAGCGATCTGGATTCTGGTGAGCGTGGGTGGCGTTCTCTTCAGCATGGGACCTTGCAGCATGGAGCTTTACTAATCTCCAGTCTTCCTTCTCGGTACAGATCATAAGCAACCAAGCGGCCTTGAGTATACCAGGTTCTTTTGGCAATGTGAGCATGCATATAAAACCGTGCGAACCTGGTGTAGTTCAAGATGCACCGTTGGGAGCAACACCTCGATCCTAGCTTCTCGTCAAGCTTAAGTTTGACATTCACCATCAGCTTTACAAGCTTTCTTCTAGCAGCCGCGTATGCAGCGACAATTTCCTCTCGAGGTTCGCCTTCTTTATGCTTGATTATTGCGCTGACCATTCAAGCAGTGCTGCTGAGAGCACAGATCCTGCGGCAGACGCTTCCAGTCTTCTGTCTCGCCAAGCTGCACCAAAGTCTTCGCGATCTGGTATGAAGCAAAAGCCTTGTATTCTATGGATGCCGGCTCCAGGCTTTCGGCAATGAACTTACCAACTTGGAACCACTTCAGAGCGTCGCAGCAGTCTCCACCATCTCGCTCTTGCTGTTTCATCACCGATCCGAGTCCCATCCCAGCATGGTATACCTTAGTAGATCTGAGCGAGGCAGGAGATGAACCAAGTGGCACTAAGATGACGACTTGCCACATGAAACTCTTCCAGTGCTCGTGGAGACTCCGACTCCTGGTGCTGCTTAGCTTCATCTTTGTCAGCAGTATTCCAGCAGAAAGGCAAACAGATTATCCGGCTCCAACTCTTTCTCCGTGAAATGGTTGATGATGCCTTGGAGGAATCTGATACTCCATTGAAGTCCATCCACATCTCTCTCCCGCAGACAGATCCAGTGGCATTCCGCAAATCTCCTCGCGGCAGGCTTGAGATCCTGCTTGCTCTTGAACAATGCGTCCAGCAAACGGACAGCGCCTGCCAAGTAAGAGGCCGAAGACTTCCCATTTCCTTCAAATGCTTACAGCAGGTCTGCAGGAAAAGGAGTTCCTGGACTTACGATGGTCAAATAGCAAGAGCACCGACAACTTCACGATCTCCGGTGCGTACACATATATTTCAAGACGAAACAAAAGTCTTCCTGGAACATGGAGCTTCTAAGCAAGTGAGAAATTTGCTTTTCTCCTCAAAATGGTTTGACATGACCGATTCGGTGAAGGACTCTTCGTTTGCCGCGTCTTTGTGAGTGCACTGAGCTTTGAGATCACGCTGGATGGCAAGGAGTGACACCAAGCTAAGTGCGGAAGTAGAAGAAATAGGCAACAGCCTGGATAAGCTTCGAAAAGAAGAGGATCCTGAGGAACAGGAATCACAAATTTGTCAGCTGCTGCAGACTTTGGCTCTGAGCTACCTGCTTTGCAAACTTTCGATCGGCAGTGTGGGATGAAGATGGCTGACTTATCGTGGGCATATTATGACATATTATTGCCATCGGGAGAGCCACCCTTCTTCTGATGAACGAATTTATGGCAGAGTCGATTCAACTAGCAGAGTGTACTTACCCTCGACGTACCAACCTGGCTTCGTTCGGCCACACATTTGACACCATGGTTATTTTCTGTGGAAGATGGGCTTCGAAGTTGACTCCGTCCGAAAGTACGAAGAGATGCTCAGGTTGATGACTTCTGTTTTGGTTTTTTTCCCTGTTTTGATCACTTTTTGTGCTCAGGTGTTGCTTGCGGGTAAATTCAAACTTTGGCTACTTGAGCACAGGATCACGAACTTAAAAACCATGAAGTACAACTTTGATCAGAGTTCCCTATGCGCTTTGAACGAGTTCAAGCGGGCAAGTTTTTGGTTTGAGAGGGTCATGCAAGGGACGTGCTGTTCTTGGCCACAACCGAAGGTGACCGCGAGAAGCATGACGAGTTCGACATGAACGACGAGAAAGCATGGGGGCAAGTCCAAGTCATTTTCAAAGACGTTGGAATCGACAGAGACATTTTGGTCATATCTCACCTCTACCTGTTGCACAATAGAGAGCTCGTCGGGCATAACCGAGAATGCGACTTCAACGCTTGTTCACCGTCAGCATTACTGGAGCTCCTGGATGCTAACAATGCAGGCAAGGCTCTCAGGGATTACTACCATGTTATCGTCAAGCCTTTTGAGTCACAGCTTGATATCACCCTGGGACGTGAAAGACAAGTCCACTCAGGTGCTCATGGAGAAATTATACAGAAATCTGGTCCAAGGAATGGACATAGCGAGAGCTCTCAGGGAGGCTGTTGTGGAGATGATCGAGGCCAACGATGGTAAGCCGGATTTACGACGTGAGACACTGGGCAGCTTTCATGGTCTCTGGCCAGGAGTTATAAGGTCACCAGCAGCGTGTTCCAGGTGATTGGAGTGGCTCGATATGGCATTCTCTTCATCATGGCTATTGCACATCGATCATGCAGTGTGCTCTCGATCGATTGGAGCAAGCTAGAACTGAGAGAAAAGTTATATCATCCTCCGTCTCCCATCAAGCTCATCACGGTTGGAGTCTCCTTGTCGCAGCCAAGAGTGCAGAAGATTCTTGGTGGCTATGGAGTCGAAAAGCTGGCAAAGCAGAGAGTTGCAAATGAAAGACAGCAAGCATAATAATATAGTACAAACATGGGAGATTACTTTTCCATCACTATCTCCCAAGTGTTTCCAGATAACAGCCACCTTTAACTCCTTCTGGCTATTATTATACGCTTCTATGATAAGAGCGTTCGCAGGTCGGGGGTTTTGGCCGAGCGGAGCAACCACACACGACTTTTGCCATTGGACGGCAAAATTCTGGTACTTAGTATCAGGATCTTCGTTAGGGAACTTCACAAAGGGCCCATTACTTTGACTGTCAAGCCTCCATCCATCCTTGTAGAAGCCATCTTTTTTCTTGAACGGACCAAGTAGAGTTCTCTGATAGAATAACAATGGCAACAATGTAATATAGGAAATCCTTATATACCTGTGGAAGATTGGTGTCATCTAGAATATCATCGTGCCAATAATCCAGCACATGCTGGATGTCCTTCTTGTCCTTTGTAGTCCCTTCTGTAATAGACCCTCCTGCAATACAGAAACATATCTATGCATGAATAAAAACAATCCAAACGATCTCATGGTGTTGCGAGACCATGTATAAATGAATGAATGAAACGGACCTTTTAGCCCCATCTAGATGCACAAACGAAATTATGAGCTTATTCAGCAAGTTCAAAAGCTATCACTCACTAGCGCCTTCATCTTGCAGCTTTGCACTGTCAATAGAGACAGTAGATTGTGCCATAGTATCAGAAAGAAGAAGAAGGAAGGGATGCACAACAACAATGAGACTCTTGAATATTTATATACGTGAAAAATTGTTTTTTTTCCTCCTATGTTGATGTTAACAAGTTGCAATTCCTACAGTGTATACTGTAGCAATTGGCGGTCCAGGGACAACACAACAAATGTTTAATGGTCAACATTGCAACTAGTGGAAGAGCAGAACTAGACCTATTCCTTACTCTCCTTTAATGCTTGTGGGGCAAGTTCCACCTAGCATAGGATCAAGCTAGAAGAGAGCAAGAAAGCTTGTCAAGATTGAAACTTTAGGGTTCATGATGTCATCGCAGTTATCATGTATAGGGGATCTCGGGTGAGTTGGTGGGGTGTGGTTTCTTTCCCTTGAGCAATGTAAGTATTGAAATATGATCATGGAGCTGCCTATTCTTTGGTGGAGACGGGAGGTTCTATTGATCATCTTTGATTGTTGTGGAGGCTGTTTGAGTTGGATTTTCATTTGAAGCTATGGTAGCTTCATGGGTCAATGTGGTGTTATCTTGTTTTAAATTGTGGTGGCTTTGTGGATGATGTGGTGTTGTCTTGTTTTAAGCTGTGGTAGCTTGATTCAGTCAGATGGAATGCTCACTTACTATATATGGAAAGATTGGTTAATGTACAATAGTTAGAGTTACTAACACCCCATCACTCTTGCATTGAAATGTAGGCTTCTTGAACAGTTTGATGGAGGCAAATAGTGGCAAGGAAATGATTTTTGCTCATGATCATGAGCAGGATCTGATTAGTGATGTATTGTGACTTGAGGATGGTGAAGCTCTTGCTGGATATAGCTAGGAAGGTGATAGGATTAGGGAAATGCTCTTGGATTTGATGTATAATCCTCAGTTTGCCATACTTAGTGAAGTGGCACATACTACCAGGCTGGGATGTCCATGAAGTACCCCATCTACAAACTCGGGGAGGACTTCAATGTTTACTTAGAACTCTTTGAATGTGCTGCTCAGAACAATAAGGTAAAAGGAGAGGAAAAAACTAAATGCTTTGTGCATATCCCTAGATGGGGAAGCACAACGTTAATTTGTTTTCTAGAGGAGCGAGGATCATATGGAAACTTGGGAAGAGATGGTGAGTTGATATGGCAGCTATTCTATCCCACTGACAGGGCATTGAAGATTGTATAGTGCAGGAAGTACAAACTTGATGAACCCGTGCAAGTCGACTAGGTGACTCTGTTGCATGCAACTTGCATTTTAAACCAAGACCCAGATGAAGCTAATTCCATGGCATGACAAATTTTCTACAATGGATTGTCAGTGGCAGTGAAGGCATGGGTTGTAGTATATAAGGACAAGCCATTGCAAATGCTCTTTCAAGAGGCATAAGAGGGGATTACCGAAGCTAAGGCTACTGGCAAGCTAGTCAAGGTCTTATATGCATTGAAATCAGATGAGGATGAAGAAGAGTCTATGTGAAAATCAAGTGTGGTAAATTCTCTCCAAAATAAAGTCTTAGAGTTAAGGGAAGAGAGTGTTTTCTGGAGGTGACAATGATGATGACAACTGCTACAATTATGGGAAGTGGCCACAAGATGCTTTTTTTGCACCAGGAACTCTACAAGCTTTTTGTTCAAGTAATGGAATCTAGGAAGAAGATGAAATTAAAATTTCTTTACTATCAAAGGTGATGATGCTTTTGTCTATCACAGAGAAATAGAGGTATGTTTTGTTTGATGTGTGATAAACAATGACTTTCACACCTCCCAAGTAAGGAATATGAAAGAACTGAGATTAGCTAAGGAAGATCTGAGAGATGTTGTTCACTACTACAAGAATTTTGAGTGGGATGTGACATGTATGGAAGATATGGGAATAAGCAAACCATAGAGTTTTTACTGCTACATTATCAATGACTAGACAGTGAAGAAGATTTTTTAACATGTAGTTACCATATGCTAAAATATTTTTGGTATAAGTCTTAAACAAACTTCTTTAATTTACTTGTAATCAGGATTTAGTGTTTAGAGGTAATTTTCTTGTTTAAAGTTCATATTTATGTTTTTTTAATCTTTGAAAATTGGATAATATGATACTTGTTTTATCACTTCTCTTACTACTTAGATCTTTGTCTTGAAACTGGAAGATAAAATTCTAAAAGAAAAAAGAAGAAAAAATGGATTTATATTGAACACTCTAAATATAAAACTTTTAAAACAGTATTTTTATATGATCTTATTTGGGTATGGGTCTTTATTAATCTTAAAATGCCCATGGATGTGCATGGTATGTGTTGAGATCAAATCTTATGAATAAAGGATTGAGGTACGAATCTTATTGTAGACAATAATGGTAAAATACACTTTAGTAAATATAAAAATATGATAAATACATATCTATAAACACTACATATTATCACTAAAACATATCAATCAACCTTTTCTGGATCTAGAACTATAATATCATCAACCCTTTCTTTGCTATGATACCAACAACTACCATGGAGATAAGGAAACATATCATAAACATGAAGAAAGATGGGCTCTAGGATTTATAGATTTCATTAAAAGCTTAAGACATAGGGAAGAGCCTTGACTATTGTACTATAGAATTAAACTCATAAGAAATGACAGGATTGAATAAATGCCAAAATTAAGCTCTCTTCAATATTATATGTTGCAAATCAAGAATTTGAAAATTTCTAAATTTGCAATATCATCATGATCAAGTTTGGAATTGGGAAACATTAGGTTTTTGAAAACATTTCTTTAATTCATTTTATTAATTTTTTAATGTGAGGGCCAAGTGTACGGCTACGATGCCGTATACTAATATTAGCGTAGTGGGATTTTGGTAGCCGTCGGATTGGTTTCAATTTGGACCACTCGCTCCTGTATATAAGCTAAGGTATTTGGGCTAATTGATATGCATTTCTGTATTCCCTTTCCATATTCCATGCACTCATATTGGTGGAGGTGAAGGGCATCTTTGATTGTCCTTGGGGAGTGCTTGGATTTGGGATTTTGGTTTGGATCTAGCTTTTGCATCGTCTAGATCCCATTTTTTTTCTTTTGTTCTTTCCTTTCAAGATTTTGGTTTAGATCTAGCTTTTTGCATTGTCTAGATCTACCATTTCCTTCTAGCTTTTTATCTTCTTTTGCTCTTTTTCCATTCGTCTTCATGGCAGATTAGCAATCTTCTCCTTTGACTCTGGAGCAGCAGTTGGTACAATTGCTTGATGCTATGCGCTTGCAATTGAACAACCAAACTTAGTTGATGGTGGCGTTCACGGCACGTGGTACAACTCCTCCTACTCTTGGTGCCAATCCTCGCGTTCAACCAGAGTTCTTTCGCAGGAATCCTGGGGATGATGTGTACCATTGGTTCGATCACTTTACGGTGATTGCCACATATCATTTTTGGGATGATGCTCGGCGTTTGCGTGAGTTTCCCACGTGTCTTCAAGGGACGGCGTTGTAGTGGTACAATGGTTTGAGCGCAACCACTCATGGGGATTGGAGTGTTCTCCCGGACATCTTCAAACGTGCCTTCGGACATGCTGACGACTGTGACGATGCCTTCTAACAATTGCATCGTCTTCGCCAAGGGCCATCCGAGTCGGTGATGCAATTTGGTATTCGTTTCCGAAGTCTTTTGCTTCATGCAAAGCCAAATATGTCGGAGCGGATCAAGCTAGGAATGTTGTGGCTAGCACTTCGTCAAGATATTGTTGGACTTGTGCATGCATTTGTTCCCACCACTCTTGACGATGCTCTTCACTTGGCACAACGTTATGAGACGTTGCCTCTTCCACTTCTTGCTGCACGTCTTTCAGCTCCACTTCCTGTGGGTGATGGTTCTGTTCCAATGGAGGTTGATGCTGCTGCTGCTCGAGTCCAAGGCCAAGGGTGAGGATGTGGTCGTGGCCGTGATGTTCACTGCTAGGCATGTGATGAAGTTGGTCATATTTATCAGCGTTGTCGGCATTTTCCAGATTGGCAACCTCCATTTCCTGGGTGGAGACCTTGGCATCAGCAACGTCCCGTTGGTGCTGCTGCAGTGGAAGGTTTGGACACCGAGATGCATCCAAGAAACGAGGAGTCATGTGAGTAACGGAGGGACCTTGCGCGAATAAGTCAGTGACCCCTCCATCTTTCTTTTAGGAGTATCATCAAGGGGTTCACTCAGCACCAGTTCATCCAGTGTTTACTTTCCAAGCTCGTCTTTATAACAAGAGGTCTCCTATTATTCTCTCCATGTTGGTTGATATAGGTTCGAGTTTATCTTCTATTGCTCGACTTGTTGCCATACGTTGTTGTCTACACTTGCGTCGTGCGGCGGAACTAGTTTTCATTCTTTATGACAATGGCCGTACACATGCATATGCACGGGATGAGGCAGACCTAGTTGTGCGTATAGGCGATCTCGAGCTTGAGTTGCAGTCATTGCGGGTGGTGCTAAGTCAAGCTTTTGACCTCATTTTTGGTATGGATTGGTTGTAGCGCAATCATGCCAAGTGTGACTTTGAGGCTTCTCCCCCTTGTCTCATACTTCCTTATGTTTCATCCATTCCTCTCACTTCCGTACCTCTTCATCCCTCTACTTCTACCTTTGCTTCCATTACTTTTGTTCCTCCACTATTTCTTCCTGTGTTTCCATCTTGTTCTGCTCTTCCCTTTTCCGATCCCTCTGACGATCTTTGTGTTGCAGCAGTTGACCAGCTCATGAAGGAGTATTCTGATCTCTTTAAATTTGACCTATCGTCTGGAGCTAAGATTGCCACATGTCATCCAATTCCAACTGGGGATGCTTGTCCAATCAAGGTTTCTGTTCGTCATCGGTCACCAAAGGAGATCAAGATTTTACATGCAAATGTCAAAAAAGATGTTGGAGAAAAGTGTTATTTGGAAGTCGTGGAGTCCTTGGGCATGTGAACCTCATCTTGTGACGAAGCCTGA